ACAAGCCATCCAATGACATACAACATTGGTTGGCTTGTAGTTTAAATAGAACAATTGGCATTCTAAATTAAGCTTTCTTCTAGTTTTCAATTTAGAATATTATTACAATATTAAATGTGTAGAAGTAATCACAAAAGTGTCTTCTTTTAAATTTTAATGTCCTTTTCACACTTCAGGAACTAACTGTCTTTATGGTGGCGTAGACCTTCTTTTTTAGACTACTCTTCCACCTCAATATGTAAAACATGGTTAAAAAACGGAAGAGTAGCCTACAAAGGAAGGTTGACTTTGCCGTTAAGACAGTTCGTTCCCGAAGTGTGAAAAGGACATTAAGAGTTAAAAGAAGACACTTTTGTGATTACTTCTATGCATTTAATATTGTAATGTATGAATTTTGTCCTGGCATGTTTTAATTATATTTTTTTAATTGTAAATTAAATTTAATGATTATGCCAAAAACCTTGGGAATATTTTTAAACCGTGTTTTACATATTGAGGTGGAAGAGTAGCCTAAAAAGGAAGGTCGACTCCACCGTAAAGACAGTTAGTTCCTGAAGTGTGAAAAGGACATTAAGATTTAAAAGAAGACACTTTTGTGATTACTTCTATGCATTTAATATTGTAATGTATGAATTTTGTCCTGGCATGTTTTAATTATATTTTTTTAATGTCTAGAAGCAATGTGGACCAGATAATTACTCATTGTGGGCCATATTATGGAGATCGCTGATCTAAATTATTAATGTAATTTCTTANAGTCTGGTAGCGTTGGTCAGAAGTAGTCCAAATTCAATACGAATGTTTGTTTCTTGAAAATTTGATCACGATTTAAATACAGTATTTACTTTTAATATTGCCGATATATCATTGAAAAGAAAACGTGTTGTATTATCATGAAAAGACAAATTAAAGTATTTGTTTCTATTATCTGGATTTTTCTTTATCCGGACTACCTTCATCCCCAATTAGTCCGGATAATCGTGGTTCTACTGTATCTTTATATTTATAATTATTTTTTAATTTGAATGTGTGAACAACTTGTATTTTCATTGTATTTTTTTGTATAACAATATAAATTATATTGTTTATTCTAATAATTTTCTTTTTAAAGATTTTGTAGAGTTTACTTTAATTTTTTCTAATTCATTCAGGAAATATTTTATTTGTAGATAATTATCTTAAAATATAAATATGAGATTATTCTTCAGTAAGATTAATACAGAAATTATTATTGTTGTTTTGATAGATGAAGGTCAATTGTTTCTAATTAAAGTAATAGTATCACATAGAGTTGCCAGTTGTACCAATCATATAATCTGTATTTGCAGAAATTAAAATTTGTCTATTGGTCTATTCATTTAATATCATACAATTTGACAAATGATGTTACATTACTGTTTGTAAATGGCAAATTTGGCATTTATCAGAAAACTATTTCATAAATTTCCATAATTTTATTGGAGAAGCTACTAAGAATCCCTAAGTTTTCTCTATGCTCTGGGTAAAATCCCTGGCTTTCCCTTTTAATGGCCCTAGCTAGTGGAACCCATTCTAGCAGCAAAGATGGAAAAATTTGTTTTGCCTCAGATGCAAGTTAAACCTCTCCTGTCTGAAGGTACTGATGGTGATAACCAAAGCATTGGTTATAAGCAAAGTTTTATAAGTGTATTTTAACTTGTTAAGTGGATTCAATTTTAATACACAAAAACATTAAATTTAACAAAAAGTTAAATTTTTACATTATATTTTAAAATCAAATATGCTAATTGATTCAAGTTTTATTTTAATTAATTAATTACTATACAGAGCATCCCCCAAAATAAGAATCCCAATCCTGATGCTGTAACTATGGCAACCTTACAAAAATAAATCAAGTTTCTTAATAATAATAAAAAATATATATTACTTTTTAATTTAATATTTCCATTCAGCAATTTAATTAAAAAGGTGGCCCCATCCTGGGCTGGCCACTTGGAGTTTTCCAGGTTTAATGTAACAGTGTTTTTCTTAGGTACATCCCTGTGGACGATACAGACATAATTCTGCACTATTTATTCTTGCTAGAGAAAATAATTTGGAGAATCTTTACAGTAAGTTTTATTTAATATTTTTTAATGATAAATTTTATTCAGTCATATATAAAATCACANATATTTTATATATTAATTTATTGCTTTTACTGTAAAAACTAAATTATCATCCCATCTAGATTCTAAAAGTTATTTTTATATATGTTGCAGTCAAAACCCGTTTTTAGTTAGAATGCATTTTAACAAGTTGAAACTAGTATATACTGGATGTCTTTGTTAAAACCAGTTTTGTCTAGTTAAAACTAGTTTTAACTCAAATTCATTTTTGACTAGCAGTAAATTCTAGTTTTAACTAGACAAAACTGATTTTGTTTAGTTAATTTACTGTTGTACATGTTTTGATTTTAGATAAAACTAGTTTTAACTTTTAACATTAGTTAAAACTAATTTTAGCTACATAAATATGTTTCGGGGAAATAAAGTTATGTATAGTGATTTTGGGGAAGATGCCTAAAATTTTGCTTATGAAGGAAATTATAGCACTAATTTGGGTTTTGGAGCCCTGTAATGAAAATATATTCTGGAGTATGTTTTTCAAATAAAACTTTGGAGTTTATTAAAAAAAAATTGTATATTGTGTTTGCAATGACGACTTTTTCACTGTCTGGCATTTTAGGCATCTCACCCTAAGTATCCGGGTGAGATGCCAAATGCCATTAGGGTAAGATAACGAATATATTACATAAATTTAATTCTTCAATTTCTTAACCAAATTTAATTTATTGCATATGTAGTATAAAGTACTTTATAGCAAGTATAACAGCACAGTATAAGTATTGTTAAGTTTTCACCCATTCTAACGTGCTCTATAGCTAGCTGAAAGCTTTTTTCAGTCCAAAAACTTTTTTGAGAAGTCCTTATATAATTTCTATGCATATCCTGCAATGAAACGAGAAAAACAAAAATTTATTAAAAATAGGCATATTGGAAATCAATTAACAAAAAATAGGCACGTTACCCCAAGAAAAATGTGGCATATTTTCTATTTGTTGGGGTAAGATGCCTAGTAGAGTCACGTGCTCCAGCATGTCTGATCGGGATCGGCGGTAGCTGACAATGGAAACTTTAGAACCTTAACTACATCATACATTAATTGTTTTTCGCAATTTTTAATAAATTCTATTTTAACTTTTAGTTTAATATTACTCTAGAAACATTTCACAACAAAAACTTCGTTCTTATCTAGCTTTTATTCTTCTCAGATGTAGAAAATGAAATAACGGTAGCCAACTACAGCTTTACACACTTAATATTGGCCCAATGATTTATCATAGAAATACATGACAATATGTGACGTCACTGTTTGGAAATATCAAAAATTAGTCATCTTCCCCCCGCTTATTATCTTACTCTGAATTACTCTATATGTTGCAGTCAAAACCAGTTTTTAGTTAGGATGCGTTTTAACTAGTTAAAACTAGTTTATACTGTATGTCTTTGATAAAACTCGTTTTGTCTAGTTAAAACTAGAATTTACTGTTAGTCAAAAATGAATTTGAGTTAAAACGGGTTTTATCAAAGACATCCAGTATAAACTAGTTTCAACTAGTTAAAACACATTCTAACTAAAAATGGGTTTTGACTGCAACATATATACTAACATTATAACAAATAGGAGTACTTGCTATAGATTTAAAGCTTTTATTTCTTCTGACATAAATTCTGTTAACTGTATAATACTAAAGTAAACTATACTCTAAATAACATTTGTGAATCCAGTAAGAAATTTAACTTTAGAAAATAAATGATCTGATTATGATCAGTATTAATCAAAAACATTTGCAGAATATTTTTGAAGTTAAATTAAATTTTGCACTGGACTCACAAAGGTATGATTTATCTTTTCATATTTAAAATCTTTTCTTATAACAAACTAGATTTCAAATGAGATAAAGATGGAAAGATATTCCCTTTTTTTATAGTCTGATGATTATTATTTGTACATTCATTTGCACAACATGGAATGGACATTTTGATCTTCTTTTTTGTAAAATTTCTGTTATTTCTTTTAAATCAATTGAAGAAGATAGTTCATGGTTTAGATTCAATACAACATATTCTACTCTATCATAAATATTTTTTACATACTACAGAATGCATATGTTATGCAAAATATTTCATTTTTTAAAAGTAATAGATTTTTTTGTTTTCTCATTTAGAAAGTGCTTATAGAAGATGGCATTATTAGAATTAACAAGAAAAATGTATCAACTGATTATATTTTAAAAAGTAGTGATGTTATTACACATTTTGTACATAGGTAAATATTAANAATAAAATAAACTAATGCTTTCAGCCTATTCAATAGACCATCCTTAGGTTAAATTAGAAGATAGGAACATTGGCATTTCAAAAAATAGAATACATAAATTTAAATACAAAAAATAATAATGAAAAATGAGAAAATAACAGTAAAATTATATATATAAATATAAAAGAAAAACAAAATCAGATATACAGTAATAATAATAATAAAAATCCAGTAATAATACCTTAAACAAACATTAACATAAATTATTAAGGTATATTCATAGAACATGAAATTATAAACTAAGGCATAAATTAGGAGTTAATGGCAAACTTTTTGACTATAAATTTCCAAGCCGATGGTAGACCTTGCCTTTATACATGCCTCTTCCAGTTTGTTTTTAGTTTTTAAATAAGTATTTTTTATATGTAAAATGAAAAGACTTGATATCAATAAAATAATTAATGGATGTGAATTAAGTTTTGTTTAGATATAAAAAGGGAAGTGATTTATAGATTTAAATATAGCTTAACATTCAATAATAAATAAATATTTATTTTTTATGTTTTATAAACCAATATTTTAAACTTTTATATGTATATGTATTTGGCAATAAGAAATAATAACATTTATTTTTTTTATTATTAAAAATATTTTTCTAGGTCTGAGAAAAGTATATCCCTATTATTTTTTATATCATATGTTCTGCAAAATCAACTGGGTAGGAGGAAAATTATTAGATGTAATCACAAATGAATATCCTATGTATAGCAAAGAAGAATATGTGAGTAATTTATTAAAAACTTATTAGTTTATAATAAATAAACTGTCAAATAAAATAAACACAGAAAGGTCAACATTGTCATATGAAGAAAAACTCAATAAACCAGAAAAAACAAGGTTGGTGCTGACTGAATGTATTGCTGAACAACACACATATCCAACCAAATGTGCTGCCAATCAAACACTTTCAATATTTATTTTGGTTGGCACTGATTGAACAAACATACAGTTGACTGATGCTTTCAATACACCATTTAGAAAAATCAATATAAAAAGATTTAATTCACATAAATTTGAACTTTTGTAATTCTAAGTAACATTTTGAATAAAATTCATGTGTTTCCATGTAATTTTAATATAAGCATAAAATTAAGCCATAAAACTGAAGTCAAAATTACTGTAGGTGTATGCGGGTGGAGAAATCAATCCCCGAAAATTGGCAACTCTGATGTCAGTGACTTTTTTACTTGGTGGGGAGTCATGAATCTTGATAGAGGAGGAAGTTTTAAATGATAAGCTATTAATGGAACTAATTATATAACAGCAACTAAGTGTAAGATATTCAAAATGTATCTGAGTGAAGTTTGTAATATGATTGATTAAAATCATAAGAGGTTCATTGAGATAGAAAATGAGTATTTTTTTCTATGTACATTAATATCTTCTTTGTATTCTAGTTCTTATTAAAATTGTTTATAATAACTGGAATTTGGAAGAAAAAAATATTTATTTACTATCTTAGTGAGAAGTTTGTTTCTTAATTGATTTCTTTATAAACTCACAAACTACACTTTGAATGCTGATTTGCACTCAGTTATTACTGTTGCATTATTATTTTTGCCTCTTACTGAAACTATTAAAGTTGAAACAAATTTGAATGGTACAAATAAATTGAATAAAAATCAAATAGAACAGTTTAAAAAACATTTATAACTATAGTATTTTTTTAGAAGCTAAATATAGTAAAAAATAGAGTTTTATTTTGTGCATTAATTTTTAAAATGATAACTGAAAAACAGTGAAGATTATTATTAAATATATAAGTTGACAAATTTGTTGGGTGCAAAGCTAGGATTGTTGATGACACTCTGGGTTAGAGTTGGGAATTATTATCTACTCAATATATTTCAACCCCTTGTTAGTTTAGAGAGAAACTGTTTTGAACAATAAATTCAGCATTCAGCTAACTTAGTTGCAGATTACCAGAATATACTGTATATACCAGGGGTGGCCAACTTTTGTGTACATAAGATCTACTTTTTTATCTTAAAAATATGTCACGATTGACTTGTCGTAGGCATAGTCTAAGTGGCGAGAGGGAAATATATACTATGTTTAGATAAGTAAGAAAAGCCACAATTCAATTTAAAACATGAAGAAAAGGTGAATATTGAAACTCAATGTTGTCACTTTCGGGGTCCACCTACTCTCTCTGTCCCTCTTCCTGCCTTTCTTTTTTCGGTTTTACGACCATTTGTCTACATTTCTTATTCCCCTTTTTACAAGTGTACGCAAACAGATTGCACATGGACTGACAAACCTGCATTTGAGGGAGGATGCGGAGGTCCGATATCACTACAGTTGCGTTTGCGCATTATGTTCACGCATTTCATTCAGTTACAAGTGTAACACATTAAGTCAAGACATCGCAAACAATTAACCAAAATTGGCTTCGCGATCGACTGGTCGGTCATAATCGACTTGTTGGCTACTCCTGGTATAAACAGTAGAGCATCGATTATCTGAATGTTGATTATCTAATCAACCAAAATGTCGGTTAACCGAAAGCGTTCCAGTTAGACTGTGTCATGCTGAATCAAACATTTTTGATAGTAGATTAACTTATAGAGTACTAGTAGCCTGGGGCGCCCCGTAGTGGGCGTTATTAACAAATTTCCATGAGGCACGGTTCCTTTGACTTTTTTGTTCCTATCAATATGCTGTACAGCTCTGTTAAAGTCCCAATGGTAAGATTTACCCTCCGAATGAAGAGGTGACGACCCCCCAAACTGTAGCCCCTGTGTGAACAATAAAGTCAAAGGAACCATACTCCTACTCGCGACCCTTCGCGAGATATAAGCCCCTGAAATAATAAATTCCTATTATAAATATACTGAATTATTTATATTGTTATATTGACCAAATAATAATTTATGGGCCAAATGAATAATAATAATTTATATTGTTAATTTAAATAATACAGTGGTACCTCAGGATACAAAATTAATACGTTCCGAAACTGAGATCGTATCTTGAAAATGTCGTAAGGTGGATCATCTTTTCCTATACGATTACATGTAAAACCAAATAACTCGTTCCAACGCGAAAAACATACTCAAATTAAAGCCAAGTAATACATTAAAAAAAATAACTGTAGTAAGAAAAACAAATGAAAAATGCGAACTAATGTAATGTCGTATGGTGAGTTTTTGTTCGTATCGTGGAGCAAAAATATGTTCGAATTTCATGTCGTATCCTGAAAATTTCGTATGCTGGGGCGTTCGTAACCTGAGGTACCACTGTAT